TAACTCAATTAGTTTTTTTTTCACCCAAAAAAGTAGATAGTTCAACTCGGCTTGCCGAGCTCTACAAAGATAAGTTTTAAAATTCTGAAAAATCTTGTTTTTCAACTCCACTTTCATCAAAGCCCCTGCGGATACTGTTCAGCGAGCGACGCTCGCTATAATTATGACTAGAAGGCATTTGTTGATTCGACGCATAGAATGAGTTATAAAACCACAACTTCAACCTAAAATGGAAAGAAAAATAAGTTTTTGGTTTCTTTGTATGATGGTGATCATTTTGGTACCGATTTCCACTCAAATAAGTGAATTTTCTCAGATGTCATTATCGAGCGATGGTCTCTTTTCAAAATGCTAGGTACCAAAAGTGAAATGCATTCTGGCCCCAATAAAAACCGTGCTTATTCTACAGAGATAGCTCTTTTCTGCGCTTTGCGAAAGTAATGTTTGGAACGAAAACTAAGCTCTAATCTACCTGCCAAAAACCGCTATCCAGGAAGGTTTCCAAGAAACCTGCGCATCCATGACTTTTGAAATGATAATTACTGTGCGTAGGGAAAGGCTAAGTCCTATTTGCAGGTGTTGCTGATACAACTTTTTCTGGAGTTTCACAATCTGTAGAAGACAACTTCTTCTTCTGAAAATCTGAAGTCCTGTCGACTGCCAATGTTGGACCGAACCTTTCCTGAAAAGGCTCATTTTTTATGAAAACAAAACTTCTAAAGTGTTATACCATTCGAATCCATTGGAAAAATGCTATTCAGTGATATAAAAATTTGTTCACAAAATGTTTTTTGAATATGAAACTTTTCCATCGCTTATCTACCCTGCCCGATCTGGTATTCTCTCAATTAGTCGTCTTGCCCAGATGGCTGGGACTCCAACACATCACTTATTGATCAGGCTCACAAGTCGCTCTGGAATACGCCATGAATCCACCACCCTTGCCCGAATATGCCATCGATTGTAAGTGTGTAGGATGTATATTCAACGGAATCAAATATATACTATGAGTTCTCATTGCACAAAGCGAAACACTGACCACTATCGCTTTAGGATACGCCACGAATCCACCATCCTTGCACGAATATGCCACCGATTGTAAGTGTGTAGGATATGTATAACAGAATTAATGGGTTGACAAGTTCATACTATATTTGACACAACATATTTTATCTTTTGTTTCTTTCCAACTTTTCAGCAAGAGCAGGCACCAGCGCCCTTAGCTGATCGCAGGCGTCGGCTGCCGATCTTAGCGGCTCCTGCAGTAATTACTGGAGGTGTTTCTTCGCGCCTCGACAATAGCCTAGTTGCGATAGTACTGCGACCGTAAATTCTTTCACAACTTCATCTGAATACAGCCACAATAGCAATAGTTCATTACAAAAATGATACAAATATTTAGTGAAACGCAAAATAATATAATATTCATCAAAGTACAATCTTGATAGTACGTATATTCCGGACACAAAAAATAAGGCGATAACTGAGCCTATCGCCCTTCATAAGATATTCCTTCCCTCTTGTTCGACCACGCGATGGAGCCTCTTATAGACTCCCGAGATATACCTTGTGCAAACTTCAGGCGTGCGTGTTTTCCAACAAACAAGAACTGCTTTCCTCAGTTCTTCCACGGTTCGGATATTTCGCTTTCTTGAAAATATCAGTAAGTCTTTGAGCTTTCAATGAACAAAAAAGAAGCCCGTATCATCGAATTAAAGCTTTTCTAACCTGATGAACGCCTTCATATTGCCCCACACAAGTTCTATGGGATTCAAGTCAGGCGATTCTGCCGGCCAGTCGAGGAGCCTAGCATTCCAGGACTGTGAACGTGGGTCGTGTATACACTCTTGTGAGCAGGAGCGTTGTCCTGTACGAGCACACCGTACCCTTGAAATGGACTTTTCGGACGCTGAACTAATATATCTAGGCTTTCATATGTAACTCTTGATTCTTTCGAACATGTCACCTTTTAGTAAACTAACCATTGAATGTTTTCCTGCAGAACGGAATATAGCAGCGTTCCAAAATTT